TATGTAAAATCGATAAAAAAACATATGTATGAGACGTACATTTAAAACTCTATCTCCAACAGCGAGGTTGCCATCTTTAGCAGCTAAACTGCCGGGAGAAATCTTCGAAATATACACTCCAAGTTCCAAAGAAATACCATGAGGAACTGAACCGACAGGTAATTGGGTTGTTCTTAACGATCTTCTAGTCAAACGTCGTCTTCTTACCGTCAATGTAGCTGATCCCACTGAACAGGTACGTAAAGTTTCCACAATTACACGCGTTGAAACAGACGTGCAATCTACATTATTAACTCGCACAATACAATCGTTCACTCTTAATTTTCCATCAACAGCAGTTCCTGATATTATTTGAGCAACGTAAATTCCTGTATCGTTTGGATAATACGGACTGTCACGACCTCCAACCAAAGTCAAACCCAAATCACGATCAGAATCCAAACAAAGTCGACTAAGATCCAGATGAATAGTAAGAATTTCCCAATCACTAACATCAGTATCGATCGCCGAATCATGTGCATGCGTTAAACTTTGCGCAAATTGACTTGCCCTTAACGCGTGATTACCAGATTCTATTTTCTCTTTAAGATCTTTCAATTCCTTCGATGCTTCGTTCCGTTGTTTTTTAATATCGTCAGAATCACGTAAAGCACCTGCTAACTCGGACACCGCACGATCACGTTCTTTTCTTAATCTATCACAAAGAGTTCTAATACTTTCTCTCTCTAAGACTATTTTATCTCTTTCGCTGAAAGCCCAATCCCTTCTTCGTTTCGACACTTCTGCCTCTTGAAGAGCTTCCTCGAGTTCCGTTTGTAATTTATCGACAGATTTTCGAAGTTTGTCCAGCTCCAAATTCGCTTGATCCAAGTTATCCATACGCTCCTTATCTCGTTTAGTGTAATCTGCCGTGCTGTCTTCTCTTTCAGCTTCTTTGTTCGAATTATCTCGTTCACGGTTATACGAGTGTAATTCCATACGATTTTTATAATCCCTGTTGGAACCTTCGGAATAATCACCAAACTTTTGACGTAGCTCGTTACATTGTTTTAAAGCCTCGTCCCGATCTTGCAAAGCGGATGAAATTTCTCTTCTTAAAGTTTCAATTTGATAAGATAAAGCTTTTTTCTAAAAATAAGGGACACATAAAGATTAAACACACAAAACGTTCATTTAAAAATAGTACACGTAGCAACAAGTAATGCACGGTATATAAATAACAAAAACCAATATAAAATCTATAAGAAGAAAATAACAATAGCGAGTCAATTATTGTGCTTTATTATTTCTAATCACGTTATTACGCGAAATGATTAAAAAAAAAAAAGAGATATAAAAAACATGACTAATTTAAGTACATTTACCTCTTCCATAAATTGCTTATTCTGATTTTCTAAGTGTGTGATTTTCGTGTATGCTTGTGTGAGATCGTCACCAAGTTTTTCCATCTCCTTGTGTACCGTATCTCGTTCACCCATAATCAAACTGTATTCTTGTAATGCTGCATTTCTTTCTTCTGTTAGTCGTTTCATATCCTTACTAGCCTTCATACGTAATACCATTGCATGATTAATTTCCTTCACTGCTTCTTCATGTTGTTGCTGTACTTTGGCTAGGGCTTCGCGATATTCGTTTCTTTCCCTTAATGCAATGTCCCATTGCCTAATTGCGGCAGTGCACTGCTGTTTTAAACCATTGCGTTCACGAACCGCACTGTTGCGCTCTTGAACAATATCATCATATTGTTTCTTCAACCTGGCAGCTTCCTCTTGAGATAGTTCCAACTATAGATCGAAACGTATGTATTAAATTTACAAAATTACAGCAACGTATGTATACGTTCATGCTTACCTTATTAACGGCCGACGAATGCGATGATATTAAATCATCGTACCGTTTCCTAAGGGTATCATACTCGTCTTTAATGGCTTCATATTTTCTAAGTGCAGATAAATAGTGCTGATTCATAGTGTCGCTGTTACTAGCATCAGAAACAAGAACTTCTTGATTCTGACACCGTAATTCGGACACTTCTTTCTGCAGAGCCTGAACTTCGCGGTCCAGACGCTGCTTGTCGTTCACAAGATCTCCATATTTGCCCCGCAAAGCAGAGCTCTCCTGTGATGTTGCCTCCAACTGATTCATAACTGCTATATGTTGTCCTCTATAGTATTCCAATTCCTTCATAGTATGTTCACACCTACATTTTAAAATTCTTTATTAGATAGTTATGCAATTATTCAAATTGTGTTTGCTTTATGCAAAACATCAAACATGGTAACACAAACAAATAAGCAGTACCACTTTAAACAAAACCAGGACAAACCGTCTTATAGTATCAGAGTGCTTATGTCTGAGTAGCTGAAGCTGATGCATGGCTTGATCACATTGAGCTTGCAAACCGTCATAATCACTACGACATTCAGGGCCACCAACAGGACTTCCAACACTGCCATAGCCTCCACTATCTCTTTCTGCATTCCGTACACGCAAGTTATATCCAATAATGCAAATTGCCAAATAATGAACATAACACAATTAAATGTAAAAGATGTGCTTCTACGTAAAAAAAGTAATATCAGTGCAATATGGTGTATATTAGATTGCAAATAATTATATTCGATTAATGTTTGTGTTAGAAACTAATTTGCATCTTTTACAACAAAAATTGAATACATATCTAAAGAAGACACACAAATGATAATAGTGCTAGTAAATTTGCAATACATTCTTATAAAAAAAAATAATTCAATACATAGTACAATTTGACTGACACAAATTTATATGCTCCTCTTTTTACATATTATTCTTACCCATATTGAGTGCTCCATCTGTGAAAAGACAACAAACAAAAATTTAATCACTTATAAGTACAATATATAATCTATGGCAAATATAAAAGTAGAATGATTATATTTATACAGCATACAGTGTGTTGTTACAATTGGTAGAACAATATAATCAGAGGTCTTACTAGCTTTCACCAGGAAAGAAACTCTATGTCACGCATGTAAGCATCATGATTCACTGTTTTTTGCAAAGTGAAATTATAAATGGTCTTTAAGTATTGCCTCCAATATTCAAATTGAAGACAATACATATTATATCATTGTTTTGTTTAAGGAAGAATTTGAAACTACTTTGTGACAATGAACTTTTATAAAATGACACATTTCAGCATGTAATAAGATTTATCAAATATAACATAGTGTTAAAATTTAATTTTTCATTCTCAAAACTAAATAAAGTACTGCTATTTTCATTCCTTTCCCTTTACTTCTAAAATTAAACTGAAATAAATCTTGTTTTACCATTGTTGAACTTATCATGTAAAACTTTCTTATTCATACGTATAGTTACAAAATAGAGAACTTACATAAATATACATTAACATGTAACATAGAAAACTAAACACTACACTCACCACTACTTCCAGCACTATCCAAAGAAGATGCACCAGAAGCCATACTCTTGATTCACCGAGGATCTACCACAAATACTTCTCTAGCAAGGTACGTGCCAGGTATTGCCTGGAAAGTATCCATGCGCTGTACTTCACGGAAGAGTGAACCCTTTGTGAATTACTAAGAAGTAGCCTTCGGGATGACATTACGGCTATGGTCTAAACGGTGCATGGCGCTCATCAGAGGGATGCAACAGTGCACCTGGCACACATACACACAGAGTAGCTCTTACTCCAATACAAACACGTGTCTCGTAATATCGAGACTTTTCATGCATCACTTTTTTCCGCGCGATTACTGATACGGGAGAAACAACGGGTAGACTTATGTTTTCTGAATGGACGTAATAAATTAATCTACGTTTTGCTGATGTGTCTCAATTTCTCAAGACCGCGTCGCATCCGTTCCTTTTTCTCCTGTCAACCGTGAGGTTATCGATCCTCGTTTGAGAGCCAATATAGACGAACAACGATTGTCGGCTGACTCATTTCTAGCAAACTGAAAACTTGTTATCACTGTAGAAAAAAAGGAGCCAACAAGTCTTTCAGTGGTGATCTCGATCGTGCACCTCTTCAGATAATCCATTAAATCGTTCGACAACACTAAAATCGACACAATTTTCACTGATTTCGGTCGTTCGGATCGCCGCGAACTGCGCACCGTTTATCCCGAAGCGACTAATGTCCCGATATTAACGATAATTGATCGCTCACCTGCTGCACCAACGAACCTGACAATTAGCCATTTTCATTCCGCCACTACAGTCTGTTTCGCATTGTCGATAATAAACATACTTCGTGGACGAGCTGCTTACTGAAGTTCGCGGCGCTAGTATCCGCATAGGATCGGTCGATTATGTCGTTCAAAAAGATTCGTTCTAGAATAATATTTCTTTTATTGTTTAACTCGTAAATTTGAAATTAAAACACTGTATTTACGTAATATTTTGTAATATATTGTAATAATTAAACAATTCACCAAATAGAAAATCAACTTGTGCAAAAATAATAATTATTTCCAACCGTTGTTCGAACTACGTTATCTTATGGTACGAATATTGATTTTTATACGTGCACTTAGGAAAAAAAAGAAATGTATTTTTCTAAGTAACTAGGCAACGTAATTATGCTTTAATGTATTTTTAATGAAACGAGTTATGTAAAGCTGGTGAAATAAAGTGAACTTTTAATAATGAAATATTGTAATACTTACTTCACGAATGGATAAAATACGCATTTGAAATTCTTTTGTACGAAATTAGAACACAATCATGCTAATCAATAAAATATAACAATCTATTTCAGTCAATCGAACGCATATAAATTAATTATAACAAATTAAGGAACTTTGTAATATTTAAAAGCCTAAATATTGTTTTATTATTCAGTGGTTTTTAATACAGACGAGGTACAGAATAAATCTATCACCCAATGCATTTTTTTGTCACAAGTCACAGGGTGCCTAGAGCCCCTTACCATTTTTGTGTCGCACCCAACGTTACCGATTTAGCATAGCATAAGATTACGACATTAGTAGTGCTTGGAAATAGAATTAAACGTAACTATGAAATTGCAAATAAGAAAATAACATAATTGTTTATTAGTAGATGATTCATCCCGTGAACGTATTCTATTGCTGTCAAAACATCGTGAACAGTTCTACTCACGCAATCCAATATATCTAGTCGTGTTTACTACGAAGGATAACTCGTCCACGTATTTAGCAATACAGAAATGAGAAAGACAAGGAAAGCAATAAGAGAAGACAAGGATAACCTTAGGGAAAATGAGCTAGACAAGGAGAGGAATAGCGGTACACAAGGATAGCACTAGAGAAATGAGTTAAACAAGGAAAGGAATAGCTGTACACAAGGATAGCACTAAAGTAATGTGTTAGACAAGGAAAGATATAGGGATAGACAAGGACAGAAAAATTCCCCTGGCGAGACTAACGCCATCTCGCGTTTGGTGCTCTGAACTACGATTTTTTAATAGGATAACAGGATATAAACAGAGGTATCAGACAAGGATAGCACTAGTGTGCGACAAGGATAGAGAGAGAACGTTTC